GGGTTTCCTCCTGATTTACTCTGTTGCTGATCTCATGGGGACCCCCAGCGATAGCAGGCGTAGGGGGGCACTGGCTTCATTTTCAACTCAAGGTGTTAGTATAAGAATGTCCAAACCTATAGGGAATCTTCATAAGAGTTCGTTTGAGCCAAACAGGACATTGCAGGGAAGCAAGATCTTAAATGCTCCGGGGAGTGACAGTTTTGCAGTTTCTTTTAGGCATTTGGAATTAAGGGGGGAACTTAAGGAAGAATACATGAACGTGGGAGACAGCAAGGTGCAGGATGAGTAGCAAGATTGCGCTTTCCTTTGAGGGTGGTTACACTTCCCAGTGGTCTGAAAAACAGGCATTTCAAAGGTGTGTTAATCTAGATGCACAGAAATGATGGACAGGGCTTGCTCAAGGCAAAGATAAACCTTTTACTAAAGTGTTAAAAGCCCAGGGTGTGACCACCCACCTGATCTGTCCACTAGGAATTTATCACCAGATCACCCTGGGAGGTCACTTTCTGTCACTGGACTTACCAGATTTATTACAGAACCTCTTTTCATCCACAGTGGGGTGTCAGTTAAACTCCTTAAACAAAGTGAATTGGATTCTATTTGTTGGAGAACATTCTGAGTAAATAGAGCAATGTCCATCCCCACGTCGAGCTCTTGCTCCTAGAGAATGCTGGGGCTCGCTCAGAGTGGAGAGTGGGGCGTGCCCCATGCTGGCAGCGATCTTCCTGTCTGAGTGAGTTCAGATCTGGTGAAAGGTGAGAGGCAGAGGGGCTCCAAGGTCGACTAGTTGTCCCAGCTCACGGTGCAGACCGGGCAGTGGTGCCACCCTGGATGGCCGGTGGCCTTCACTTTTAGCCGCAGCACCAGGACTCTCACTGTAATGGAGGGAGATATCAGGGCAGGGGTCGGAAGAAGGAACTACAGTCATCGAGGGCCTAGTCTGTGCCAAGCCCTGCGTGAGGTTCTTCAGATATCTGGGGGTTTATTTCCACTGTCCTCAGAGGTGTTCTGTGTATTTCAGTCCTTGGACATGTATTGAGACCTCAGCCTGTGGTCTCTCCTGAGGAATGCTCCGTATGCCCCTGACAAGGACGTCTCCTCTGCGGGTTGGGGGGGGGTGGCCCCTAGACACCCGCTGTGAAAGGCCCAGTGCTCTCCCTGGCATGGAGCCTTCGCTCTGCCACGCGCCCAGCAGGGGAAAGGGGAGAGTCTGTGTGGGTGAAGAGGTGTGCCAGCCCCTGACCACAGGACACAGACGTGATGCCAGCTTGTCTTCCATGTGGCCCAAAGAAGAAGAAAAGGTCAAGAACTGTAAACAGGCATCTGAAGCCAAGAGCAACGTCCAAAGCTTTGCTCGAGGAAGGAAATTTACCCGTGGAGATGAGGAGAGGCCGTGTGCAGTCACACTTCTTCCCTCGTGCATCCTGCAGACACTTACCAGAGGCGTGCTCATCCTGGCTGCTGTCCTGGATGTTGCGATAGAAGATGCATCGTGGCCCCTGCCTTCCCAGAACCTGCAGACCATGCGGGAGAACATAATCGAGCAGGCAGTTATGCCTACAAGGGTAGGGGTCATAGTGGGGAAAGTATGTATGTATCGGAACACAGTCATTCTTGCTTTGTTTCTCCCTTTCCCTCTGTCATACAGATCTGCAGATAAAACAGGACTTCCACAGGCAAGCCGACAGGTGGAGGCGACATGGTGCCGGCTGTAAACCTATTCGAGACCTTTAGGAAATAGTTTCATGAAGGGCAAGGAGACTGTGAGTTCCTAGGGCCAGGCACACCAGAGAGCACTGGAGCTTTTATTTAGGTGGTTTTTTTTTTGGGTGCCATGGGCCCTTTTGACAAACTGTGAAGCTCTGGAGACCTTTTCAGAGTAATGATTTGAAAACACATAATGAAACACTCTGGGTCACAAAGGAAACCAATCACGTTGGAATGCGGCTGCGCTGTGCATGGACTCAGTCCCTCTCCCTGGGAGAAGGGGTCTGCAAGTTCATGGAGTAGAGGACAGATCCTTTGCAGAGAAGGAAATAAGCTTTCCTGAGGAATTCTATGTTTATGGCATTGGTTACCTCCAAGGAGGGCCCGATGATGGGTGGTTTTACTTTCCGTAGAAGACTCCTTGGCCTGCCCCTGGTGAACTCATGATTTCTGTTTCTTTTCTCACCAGACTGTGTGCCCAAACTTCTAGAGAATGGCCACGTTGACTTGAATTTTCCACCTTTTACATTTCTCTTGTTGCTTCCT